GACTTGGTACAGGTATAAAATGTGGTGGGGTTAGACCAGGTCTTAAAGGAAGTCCTACAGATGAATTTCATTGACTCCTACTCAGGGTGGGTAAAACTTGCCTAGACTCAGAAGGAAGAGCTTGCTTGACACAGAGACACTTGTCTATAGTTGAAGATCAGAGGTTGTACTCTAAATGTCTTTTGGGGTTGAAAAGTGTTTAAGTTTGTTTTTTCATTAATGTATGCCTCTTATTTCTTTTTATTCATATGTATGTCAAAGTTAGCCGAGATATTCAAAAATAAGGACGTGTTCGCACAAGGCAATTATTATAAATGGGGAATGTGTCCATGGAACACAGATGATGCCCCCGCTTCCATATCATATAAAGTTATAAAGGGACATAACTGAAGAACGGTAAAAGTGACGCTACCCAAATTTGTACTTGATCTGAGTTTTGTGGTAATAAGTATTGTGTAGTTTCATAACATTTGGTTGAGGCTAACTTAAGTAAGGGAACAGAAACGAAAAATTCAGCAATTTTTCCATTTGTAAAGGGGCATAACTCAAGTAGAGTAAAAGTGACACCACCAAAATTCGAACTTGATCTGTATTTTGTGGTAATAAGCATTGTGTATAAGTTTCATAACATTTGGTTGAGGCTAACTTAGGAAAGAGAACGGAAATGAAACATTTAGCAATATTTCCATTTGTAAAGGGCATAACTCTAGAACGGTTAAAGTGACACCACCAAAATTCAAACTTGATCTGTGTTTTGTGGTAATAAGCATTGTGTATATGTTTCATAACATTTGGTTGAGGCAAACTAAAGTTAGAGAACAGAAATGAAATATTCAGCAATTTTTCCATTTGTAAAAGAACATAACTCTAGAAAGGTTAAAGTGACGCCACCAAAATTCAAACTTGATCTGTATTTTGTGGTTATAAGCATTTTGTATAAGTTTCATAACATTTGGTTGAGGCAAACTAAAGTTAGAGAACGGAAACCAACTTTGGGACGTACAGACAGATGGATGTACGGACGGACAAGGGTAAAACTAAATGCCCCTTCCGCTTTGGCGGGGGCATAAAAATTGTTGCTAGAATGAAAAGTTCTCACAGAAACTATGGTAAAATACCTTTTTAAGCTTCTTAAATCACTGTGTTATGTAGGAATGACATATCAACACCTTTTTTGGAAAGCTTTTCTTGAAATTAGAGAATCCCTGACAAGAACATACAAAAAAGTGGAACAGTTTTTTTTACATTGCGTACACAGGATAGCATATTTCTTAGTGAAACGATCATGCTTGTTTCACATGATTTTCTTAAACTATCAGAAAATTATCATAGAGATAAAAAAAAAAAAGAATCTATTGACCTGGCTGCAATGGCACTTCTATAATTGCAGGACGTGACTATCTAAAGACAATTAAACAATTGTCGTCATTGTAGGGAAAAACCATGCTGACATGACTACTAACAGTTAGAAATCTCGTCACTCAGGTGAAATATTACTATTTTTTATTCATTATGTCTCATTTATACTGATTCACATGACTAGAGACCGTTGATAATTCGGATAAAGGTATAAACATAGTCATATCTTACTTCCAGTCCATCTAATTTTAGAACGGAATGACGTGAAACAAGTTTTTTCATCAGCAGGTTTGTTACCAGAACATCAATATCAGTGGTCTGTCCACTTACCTTATCTCCACTTCAGACATATCAATCACACAACCTTTTCTAATTATCAAAAACAATCAATCTTTCTCATTTTTGTTTATTTTTGATAAAAATCTATTTTTCATTAGTACACAAGGACAGTTGATTGGCAGCAAATAATTCTGCGAAAACTGCCTATTTCATATTGTAATAATGGATCAAAGACTGAAATGGCTGGGTTGCCCAGGTTGTTAATTCAACAATGAAAAAAGTCTATTGTTGAACATTTAAAAATATGGGAAAATGGGGAAAATTTGTAAACAATAGATATAAGAAGATGTGGTATGAGTGCCAATGAGATAACTCTCCATCCAAGTCACAATTTGTAAAAGTAAACCATTATAAGTCAAAGTACGGCCTTCAACACAGAGCCTTGGCTCACACCGAACAGCAAGCTATAAAGGGCCCCAAAAATGACTAGAGTAAAACCATTCAAACAGGAAAACCAACAGTTTAATCTATATAAAAAACGAGAAACGAGAATGACTTATGAACCACATCAACAAACGACAACCACTGAACAACAGTTTCCTAAATTAACTCCATAATGGAAGGTCCACAACTTCAATAGGTTTCCAATCTCTTTGTGAAGTTTTGTTAAAAACACAAATTTGTTTTTAAGCCTGGAAAAATGGTAAAAAATTCCTCAAACAATGCAATATTAGCAGGTGCAAAATTTCAAGATGTGTGCAATATTCCTGTGAAGTTTCAGGGATCTGGGTTGAAAACTTAAGGAGGAGTCGATTACACAAATTAGGTACCAATTTTTATGTAAATACCACCACGTGCAACAGCAACATTATATATATGGTTTTAAACTTCGACCTTACAACAAATAATTATCTAATTTACAACAAGGAAAAGTGAATTGGTAATAATAAGATTGTCAAACAGAAAAAACACAACAAACAGCACACCACATAACCAGACATAATCAGAAAACACACGGTACATTCAATGTATACGGTTGAACCACCAAAACACAAGAAATAAACATATAACATGTATCTGACCCAGATAATTAGAGAACAGAATGCACGTAACATGTATCTGACCCAGATAATTAGAGAACCGAATGCACGTAACATGTATACCATGAATCAATCAAACACAATACACTTCTTATAGTTTAATAAGCTATCAATAATTATATGAACACACAATTCCCTCAATAACAACATCAGATATAACATTTGAACTATGCACATCACAAAGTATATAACATAGAAACAAGAAATAATGAGCAAACTGCTAACAACAGAATTCATATATTATGTGAACCAAGTAAACATCATTAACAAAATGCTGATAGCAGAATGTGCTTAACATATACATGTAGCATGTGAACCAACCAAACTATCAATGAACACAATTCCTTCAACAAACAAGGATCTAACATGTACACTGTTTGTCAAACAAACTACAAAATATATAAAAATATGTGAATTAACCAAATAATCAATGAAAAGATTACACACAACAGAAAACACAAGAATGTGTTAAAATGTCAACCAACAACAAACAAAACAATGGATTAAATGTGAACCAACCAAACACAACACAGTGGATTAAATGTGAACCAACCACAAACAAAACAATGGATTAAATGTGAACCAACCACAAACAAAACAATGGATTAAATGTGAACCAACCAAACACAACACAATGGATTAAATGTGAACCAACCACAAACAAAACAATGGATTAAATGTGAACCAACCACAAACAAAACAATGGAATAAATGTGAACCAACCACAAACAAAACAATGGATTAAATGCAAATCAACCAAACACAACACAATGGATTATATGTGAACCAACCACAAACAAAACAATGGATTAAATGTGAACCAACCAAACACAACACAATGGATTAAATGTGAACCAACCACAAACAAAACAATGGATTAAATGTGAACCAACCAAACACAACACAATGCATTAAAATGTGAACCAACAACAAACAAGTCTGTGGAATAAAATGTGAACCAACCAAAAACAAAACAATGGATTAAAATAAACCAACCAAACACAGAACAATGGATATATATGAAATGTGAACCAACCAAACACATTACTGTGGATAATACTGATGAAACAAACAAATTCAACACAATGGATATAGCATGTGAAGAAACCATACAGAGCACAAAAACATCAGTTATGAACCAACCAAACAAATGAAGAACATAATACACACATCTATTGATCTATCATGTTTACAGTGTACTTTCCTCATGTATACAGTGTACTGTCCATAAACAATACAATGGACATTACATTCAACCATTTTGGACATTTTTTATACATGACATATATATGCCATGTGAATCTACCAGATAACAATTAAACAGAATACACAATACTGAACTATCTGAAAACTGCAAACCAGCATGACCATAAATAACAATCAAAGAAAAAAAATATAAAAAAAAAATTAAAATTACAATTATTATTTATAAAATTAAAAAACTATGCATACAATTTGATACACCACTGAGGAATTGTCCTGATTCTAGATCATATACTTCATCAATTATTCAAAGTATGTCACATAAATTTCTATACTTAAATAAACTATTCAATTCATACTGTAATAAGCTCTCTAATATCGTGTGAATTAATTTGAATAAGTGTACATGATATGAAAAACATAGCACATTATGTTAAAACTAGACCAGAAACAACTTGATAAAAAAGCTTAAATTATTGTCATATTCATACCTTAGGACCATAGTTTTAAATTTAGTGTTAAATCATTACAATAACAAACACAAAAGAAGTTTATATCTCTTGGGGGGAAAAGATGGCCATTGTTTCATAACTGAACTGCACCTCACATGGGTATTTCCAAAGAATTAATTGCAGGCTCACAATATTGTATTTGATCAATTGCCTGATATCTTTAACTTGCATTTTAATTAGAACGCGTTGTAAATGCTGCCAGCCCTTGTTCCTCCCGACATTTTTTTACATTTGGGGAGCAAGGGATATTCAAACTGAAACCATTCTTAGTATTCCTTGTCAACACATTCATTGACTTTACATTCTTAGTGAAGAAAATACATTAGAAAAAAAAGGCTTCATTTTTGTTTTTCATTAGGGTTTCAAGTCATGAAAGTAATTCAGTTAAGACCAACATTAAAATGAAATAAATAAGAAAAACTGGAACCTCTCAGCTAAGCAGATATATACTCAATTTTTTCAAAGAAGCGTGTGCATTGGTTTATGCTATATAGTTTTAATTTCAGGAATCATTGCCTATGCATAAATGAGTTAAAAGTGTACTCACCTTTCTCTTGGAGCTTGTACATTGGTTAATGATATATAGTTGTTGCGTACACTTCGTAAACTGGCAAGGATCTGTGCAAAAGGGGTCACAATAAGGTCATCTGCATGTCTGGAATTAAAACAAGTAGAAAATCGTCTTGAGTTATTTCTATCTCGATCTTTTTGCTTTACTACACTGCACCCATTGCTTTTAAAATGGGGAGTCAAATACTGAACGATCTTCTGCATAACTGGGCTAAAACAAAACGTGATGGCAGCTTAGAAGGCCTACAATTAATAAATTCCTGTGGCCTGTAAATCACACAATCCGGTAATTCTGAGTATACAGCTGAAATATAATTTGTTGCATCCAACACAATGATAAATAATCACATATCACATGTCTGATAACTTCCATATTAGAACTACAGTTATTTTACTTTGACAAGACAGACTGTGCAGAATTGAATGTCAATAAAAATCCGATATTTGACGAATGCTGATAATAAATAAAACCAGCGATTTTCTGGTGTCCTTCAAATATGAAGCAGATGTTGTACTTTATACAAACTTCTGTCAATAATGTGTTCTGGAATTCAGATAACTATTGACAAACGGAACAGGAATCAGTTATGTCTATTTAAATTGATCCAATGGATTTCTTTACCATTTTCTTTGATTAAACATTCAAGACGCAAATCCACTTTTTTATATCTCAGCTCAATTATTTGAAGGGAAAGAATTGCAAATGAGAAGATTATTGGACTAACACGGTACAAATTCTGTCGAGAGTCGGTTGTATTGATTTACAAAGTCAGCACTGTTACACGGAATTAACCAACAAGATTTAGTGTACACGATATCTCCATTAAGTCTACAATACCACATCTACAAACTGTAACCAATAATTACAGATAATTTATCGTCAATCGTTCTAGAATTTGTCAATAAAAAAGAAAGTTAAAGCCAAAGACAATAATTATGCCAATGTACTTCTGACCTAACTAATCAATGTTAATAGGGCATTAATTATTCATAATTGTATATTTGTAAAGATCTTTACGATTCGAAACAAAACATTTAATACTTAGCTATTCAATACTTTTTAATCTGACTCACTTTTTATATGGGTCACGCAATTGTTATAAAACCTTTAAGAAGTTTAAGTTTGACGTCAGAACCTGGAGACAAGAGGGCGAAAAACATTAAATGGAAAATTAAATAGGACAGTTTGGCTGTCAGAGAAGGGTCTGAGCACTTCCTTTTATGAGATTTAGAAGATATTAGATTTTATCTCAAAATTAAATGTATAACACTGTAGTGTAATTTGTGAAATGAGAACAAAAACAGATAATTAAAATTACTTTGAAATCATACAAACTATTTAAAATCTTCAAATTGGAGTTCTATATAGAATGTAGTTACCATTTCAATACTGTTATTTATCTATCTGCAGCTACATGAATTTTTGTGACATAGACAATGATAAAGGAAAATACAATGCAAATGTACATTTCTATTGGTATAATTAATTCGATTTATAGCATTTGATAGATGAAGATTCCTTTCTATGCTAATGTTCACACTCACAAACATGTACATTTCTATTGGTATAATTAATTCGATTTATAGCATTTGATTGATCAAGATTCCTTTCTATGCTAATGTTCACAATCACAAACATGTACATTTCTATTGGTACAATTAATTCGATTTATAGCATTTGATAGATCAAGATTCCTTTCTATGCTAATGTTCACAATCACAAACATTTATTCTCCTTTGTCACTGTATGAAAATAATTCAAATTGTAAAATTAGTTGATGTCATTGTACAGCATTTTTTTCCATTGAAAATATATTTAATTAACCAGTTATTGCACATTTCAAAAATCATATGGTAATATAGAATCAGAGTGCATTAAGTGTAATTGATTTGGAAGAAAATAGAATCACATCTCAGCAGCACTGTTTCATTTCAACACTTGATTGAATATTTGTATTACATGACTAAATAAGTGTGTGTTACTGTGTATTATAGAGACTAAGTGTTCCCGAAAATGCTTTTCCCAAATTGTCCCCTCATAGTTTTCAGGAAAATAACACTCCAATGTACAGTTCCTCAGATCTGAAGGGTTAACAGTCTCCTGCCAAATTACAATTTCAATGCAAAAATAGCCAATGAGTTGGACAAAAATAAAAAGTTGTCTTCTGTCTCATTAAAACAACAAAATGTTTCTTTTGTAATGCATTCCTTAGATAATTTTGTGCAATGAAGAATCTTTCAGTGTTTTAATCCAGTGAAAATTGTATTATTATACAACATCATCTTAAACTAACCTCATAGGACCTTAATTGTTGAAATAAACATTTGTCTCCCCTGAAACTGTATTGAAAAACAAAATATATTGAGGTGAAAATTTGGAGTGGTCTCAGTAAGTAAGACAAATAAAAAGAACATTTCAGATTCAAATTGTAATTGTGCTTACCAATATTCAATTAACTAGTTAAATTGAGCATGTAGTATTCAAAGGAAGAAAAATATAAGAAAAAACTTGTTTTTATTTTACTAGAAAGGGTAAGAAAGACAACTCTTGTTAAAATTATTTACAATCACATTGTGTTCTTGTAAAAATTTGTAAAGGGTTCTGCAGAACCTAGTGTCTAGCCAGCTTTTGTGGCAGTAAAGAGCAAAAATGTAATATTTATTACCAAAATCTCAGTCCATTTATCAGTAAAATACAGGGTGAAAAAATGAACTTTTTTCTTCAGATGCTATTTCTCGATCTTATATCAGCTTCTGTCAAAGCTTCATTACATTCCTTGAAGATTGATCTAACAATCTAATCTCAGACAGTATGTAAATGTTAATGCCAAAAAAATTACTTCCATTTACCAGTAAAATACTGAAAACTTAAAACAATATATTTTCAAAATTTACCTTCAGACATTATCACACTATGTAAACGGTGTCCTCTATGAAATGTGCTTCCATACTCTCGGTGTTCTGTGACACTAAAGTCACAAAATACAGATACCTTAAAAAAACTAGAAAAAAAGCCAAATGAAAGTAACCCCATTTTATCCCTCTACCAGAAGATTTTTAACATTTTTATGGAAGTTAAACTAACTTTGCCTTTGTTGAACATGAATTTACTGTACATTCACAATCACTCGTTTTCATGGGATTAAAATGTACGAAAAGTCACAGTATACTTGTAGACTAAACCGACCATGCATATTCATTGCATGTAAAAGTATACAATAATGAGGTGTCTAATTCATGCTATGGCATTTGTAACAATATTTTCTAAATAAATTGTAAAAAATCTTTGAACAAAATCAGACGTTCAAACAATATATCAAACTACCTATAAATTCATTATTTATTTCATTGTAAAAAACGAAAATAATATATCCCAAATTCATTCTGTAATAGATCATGTTATTAAAAAGGTGAAGAATTCATACTGAGAACTAAATAAACATACCAAACTGAGTGCCCTGTCCTCATTAGGTGTTCCAAAATAGGAGTCACAGTACACTGAGAATGTGAAGGCACATTGATAGAGGACACCATTTACATAGTGCAATTTAAGTTTTATTAAATTCTAAGAAGTTTTTACAAAGTTATTTATGTCTGAAAAACTTTAATCTTAGACTGTTTCTTCATGTTAACTGCAAAAGTTCATTTATCAGTCAAATTTACATAAAATGATCAAAAAAATATTTTCAAAATTTTACTCTGAAAACTGTTTATTGTCATAAAAGCTTCTGTCTTATTTTTAGGAAATCCTAAGGTTTAAAAAAAAATTGATGTCTAAAAAAACTTTACCCACAGATTGAAGTTGAATGTTGACGTCTCCTTCTCCTTCGACGGAATACATGATTGCTATGTATTGCTTCCATGACAGAATGTCTCATGCTCAACAAAAATCAACTAAATTTAAGCATAAAACAGAAAATGTGATAAACCAAATTACTGTAAAAAAAATTGATATTTTTGCATGACAGCAACTTAGCTTATTTTGTGGTAGTGTTCCCAGAAATATATAAATATTTTAGATAGTCCTTTCTGTTACAAATACCATTGCTATGGAAATGATAGGTGCTAAGAAAATACACCTAAAAATTAACAGATTTCCATCAAAACAGGAATCCATGAAAATCAATATCAAAATACTCTGCGTCATAGTGTCAAACTAACCTCTATTAGCAGGTACTCATGTCTTATTGTCAAATTATATTCTATTAGAAGATACTTTACTTCTTATAGTCAAACTATATATTTTCTATTAGTACATTCATAGAATGTCTTAGAATAATCTTATCATACAGTAGGGTATAGAAATATGTCTGTAGTTGAAGGATCAGATATGTTGACCTCTATATTTTGTCTGATTTTCATATATTGGTTGATTGCTGTCTACAGTTTTCATTATATCTTTCCTGAGTTAGGAATTACGTTTGTCTTTCAAAACAAAACCTTACATACACAAAATACATGTGTCATTACAATGTGTTTGGTTAAAAACGTACTGGAATAAATAGAAATAGTAGTACTACCAAAAGTATACTAACAATTTTAAAGATTTTGACACAATTTTGGGTTTTCAATTTGGTCCTGTACATCTGCTTTATCCAAAGGAGTCAAGTTTGTTGTTGATTAAAACCCATGTCTGAGTGGACCATGCTTGGTTCAGCTTGTTGAAATCCCTTTATGGGTGAACCATTTGTAGTATAATGAAAGAATATTTATCATGGTTGTAGGTTAATACCCATGTCTGAGTGGAACATGCATGGTTCAGCTTGTTGAAATCCCTTTATGGGTGAACCATTTGTAGTTAATATGAAAGAATATTTATCATGGTTGTTGGTTAAAACCCATGTCTGAGTGGAACATGCTTGGTTCAGCTTGTTGAAATCCCTTTAAGAATTGAATGCTTCGTTTTGTTATTTTATTGGGGTGTAAAAGTGTTGACAGAAGCACATTTTGTATGAAGCGCAGAAGCTCTTCATTTTAGAAATGTGTGCACGATCAACACTTTTACAACCCTATAAAGTTACTAAAAGAAGCATTCAATTTTTATAATTACATTTTTATGTTAGGGTCATGAAAAATCAATTTCTA